TATCTGCTCCTTTTTAAACAAGAAAAAATACATATAAAATAAAATACATTCAAACACAATAATCTTTAAATAACAGAACTAACCAAAACCAACTCCGTATCAAGACAACCAGTCCTATAAGAATATATTAAACCATTTCATATTTTTTAATAAATAAATTTTTACTTTTTCTTAAACAAAAACATTGAGGAAGCATTTTTACAATCGTTATCCAACACATGCCACAGTTTTACTCCTTGAACAGACGTACATCGTTCCTTTAAGTTTAATCGAATTATTGGCTTCACAAACATCTCTAATCCTTTTCATTTATAATTACGTACTGACTCGCTTGATAAAAAATGATTGAATATTTTGAGGTAAAGCGTTTGAATGAGCCCTATACTGTAAATAACCTGCAAAATTCCATAGTCAACCAGTTCATAAAATTTATTAACTTTAATTGATGAAATAATACGTTAGATGGATGAGTGTGATGTTTTCTTGTGATGATTCTTATGGCTCTTTTCTGGAAAATAAAAATATAATTTGTAGCCGTTCTACATGCCTTCCCCCAAACCTCAACACAATAAGTCAAATGAGGAACAATTATAGCGTTATACAATATAAGCAGTGCTTTTCGTTAAACAATTCTCTTGCCTTGTATAGTACAGCAATAGATTTTTCTATTTTAGTTTTCAGATAATTAAGGTGAGATTTCCAGGTCAGGTTTTCATCAATAGTTACACCCAAAACTTTCACTTCACTCACTCTACAAATTACATTACAATCCACTTTAAATGATGCATCAACTATAATTTTTCTATTACTAAATATCATATAATTTGTTGTCTCCAAATTTAGTGATAATTTATTACCCGTAAGTCCAAATCAAGTCTGTATTTTTACAAACTTAGTTTCCATCATTTCCAGCATAAGATCTAAATTTTTTCCCTGACAAAAAATGTTGTGTCATCTGCAAACAAAACACATTTAAACAACTCAGACACATTCACCAAATCATTTATGTATTTGGGCACCATAAAAAACCTTAACTCAGTATTTACTAGTTCCTCCTTCCACAGAAATAACAGCCTCTAAACACTTCCTACAGCTTCTAATGAGAGTCTGGATTGTGGTTAAAGGTATTTTAAACCATTCTTCTTTACAAAACATCTCTAGTTCATTCAGGTTTGATGGTTTCTGAGCATGGACAGCTCTCTTTAAGTGACACC